CCCCAAAACCCCAAAACCCCAAAACCCCAAAACCCCTTTGAGTTAAATGATAATAGAAATCTTTACTATAATAATAAATATATTCTTTGTATTTCAAACGACACCAAATGGAAAACTTTCTTTTTGACGATATAATGACTGAGAATAATCTCTTCCAGGAGTTCGACCAACAAAGTCAAAGTTCTCTCCTCGATGTCATGGTGGATGCCATGATGGATCCTATCAAAGAAGAACTCCCAGCCATTGCTCAATTAGACAATTTAAAGAGTCTTGAGCCTCACAAGCATGACCATATCCAAGCTCACGAGTCTATCGACCAGGGCCTGTTTTGCTTAGATCCACATGTTAAAGAGCCTGTTGAAGATCTCATGGTCAGAGATAGCTCCAAAGCCACTAGCTCAACTGCAAAAGTGACACCTGAAATGAAGATATTCAAAATATCTAATTGACCACAGAAAAATGGTGGCCAGCTTAGTTCCCAATCAAAGGTTGATACAAACAAAGAAGCCATGCCTATCAAAGACGATCACACTGAAATTGACTCTAATGAAGTTGTGATTGCAGTACCAGAGCCGAAGTCAGTTAAAAGACCCCGAAGAGATGTCACATACAAGACCATTCTCAGAAAGTGCAGAAAGTACTACCAGACCAGATTCAACCACCACACTGGTTATCTCAAAAACAAGAAGAAGGAACCCTGCAGCTTCTACAGAGCCTGCATCCTCAAGTTTATCGACTCTTACTTCGAGTACAACACACACCTCAACGTGAGTTTCCACCTGGGGTGTCTGCTGTATCCGCAAGAGATGACCAGAGGCATCGAGAGCTTTGTGTACCCAGATGGGGTCAAAACATTCACTCCGAAGAAAGTTGTGAAGCGCAAGATTGAGACTCACAAGCAGCAAGTTGATAAACTGCACAGCATTCTGTACAAGTTCACTCATGAAAAGCTCGACAAGTTCATATCTGTTCCGGAACTGGCTGCAATCTTTGTCAACTTCATCCAGAATGGAGCTGGCAAAGATGTGGCCAGCCAAGAGTTCAAAGCTGAGTATGACGACTTGCTGAAAAGATGCCTGAAGACTCTTTCGAAGTGAAAGAAAGTCAAAGGAGTCGCCACTCTGTTCGATTAAGCATGGACTTCATCGGCAGTTTGGCCATATTTTATTTATCAGGAGTAACCTCCTCACATAATTAATATAAACATTCGGATATTCTTGCTCGTTCCTTTCCCAGTTCTTCGTAAGTATAATAATCTTGGGAGATGCATACTTGCATCGGGATTTCTGGTGACTAAAGTACAATTTTTCATTCAATCTGGTCTTTATTCTAATTATGAATTTACCAATCTACAATAATTTTTCTTCGACCCTTTTATGACCATAGAGAAAATTTTGGATTTTCACTATAATTTTTCTTCCGAAGAAAGCTTTTCTGGAAGAATTTTCACCCTACACTAACAGAAGTATGAATTTTGATAATAAAAACACTTGAATCAAATTATTTTATAGTTAAAAATAAGAAAATTTTTATATAGGAATGACATCACAAGCTTTAGATCTTCAATTCTACCTTTGCTCATCATTTTAGCTGTCTAAACTTCACTAAGGATGAAGTAGAAGGTGGTAGAGTTGTTTGGAGCGAACTGCACCAAAATGTGTCCTATTTAATACCTTTATTTTAACAACAAGATTGCCATTCAATCTGCTCTGAGAAGGATTAAAAACAAGAAACTTATATTAGATATCTAGTTCAACGCCTCATTGTCCAGATTTTGGGTTAATTTTAGCGACAGTAACAAGATTCTCGTCTTAAAGCGTCCCTCCCCATATTGTTCAATACTTATAGATATGTCGAACCATCGGTTTGAGAATCTGCTCAGAGGTAAGATTCGAGGCATTTGAAAGGCCACCATTTATTGGACGATACAATTGTGAAAACAGTGAGAAATCTCTCTGTGGCAAGTACGCTTTTGTTCAATTCGAAACTCAAAAAATGGGGTTTTGGGGTTTTGGGGTTTTGGGGG